AGAGGAGACCCCCTGTAGACGGAGATGTTGGTACCTCAGTGTCTCCTGTCCTCTTGCCCACCCAGGTCTCCCTATATAGGGCACATGGCCACATCCTGAGTCTTCTCACATTATTTATGTAGCACATAATTTGTGACTAGGCATTATGGATTGAATTGTGTCCCCCCAAAAAATATGTGTTGAAACTTTTAACTGTGGAGTCCTGGTATGACGCTGTAAGATAAACACTGTACTGCTAACTGCAAGGTTGATGGTTCAAACCCACCAGCCACTGCTCTGAAACCCTATACAAGGGGGCTCATCCTTGGGCCTGGGAAAGCACAATCCCTGGGAATTTGCTGCAGAAGCAAACAAAACAAAATCAATAGGCTTGAAGTCATCTTTAGATCAGATTATAGTGGTTACGAATCTAGCTGCTAACTTCAAGGTCAACAGTTTGTAACTGCAAGCCATTCCATGAGAGAAAGCTGAGACTTTCTGTTCTCATAAAGATTTACAGCCTCGGAAACCCTATGCAGGGTCACTATGAGTCGGAACCAACTCCATGGCATGTCACCACTACCACTTAAAAACAGCAACCTGTAAAGCTGGTCATGTTGGAACTAGGGGGGTTTTTTTGTTATGCTAATGAACGCATGCTTCTGTAGGGTAGACCTTAAACCTGTCTAAGTTATGACAAGAGCGGACTAGACCGAAGCCCACAGGATTGACAGTTGTCTCCAGAAACTAGGAGAGAGGCTCATAGAAGGAAGTGGTGTGGCCAAGATCCTGATTTAGACTTTTCACTTCCGGAACTATGGGAAAAATAATTTCTGTTCTTTAAATCTACCCACACATATTTCTGTCATGGCAGCACTAGGTAACTAAGACCCCAGGTAACATAGGTCTCCTCAGTCCTAAAGCCTAGTAGGAATGGTGGGATCTCTAATTCTATGTTCTCAAGTCCTGGCCTGTCACCAGAACCTCCATTTCCCCATCACTGAAATGGGCCAGCCCTGCCAGGATTATAGATAGGAATGGATACAGATGAATACATAGAAACCTTCAAGCGCTGACCTTGAGTGTTGTCTGAAGTCTGGTGGAGGTTACAGACATTCAGTCATGGGGCAGCTGGGATGCACCATCGTTCAGCATAACATCAGCTCTTCATTATGTGGTTCCAACTACAAGAGCTTCAGGATGTTAGAAGAAAGATCTCAGGGCCCACAGATAGCAGTTCATCCTGGGCAGGAGAATGAGCACTGCTCCAAACCAGAAAGCAATGGGGTTAGACACGGGAAGTGGAAGGAGGACATGCCTGCCCTAGCTGTGGGGACTCAGCCTTGTGTCTGGGAAAGGGCAATCCCTGGAAATTTGCTGCAGAAGCTAAGAAAAAAATCAATAGGCCTGAAGTCATCTTTAGATCAGATTATAGTGGTTACGAGCCTAGCTGCTAACTTCAAGGTCAGCAGTTCGTAACTACAAGCTATTCCATGAGAGAAAGATGAGACTTTTTGCTCCCATAAAGATTTACAGCCTTGGAAACCCTATGCAGGGTTACTATGAGTCAGAACCAACTCCATGGCACGTCACCACTATGAGCACCACCATATAGGAGTTATGGTGTAGTGCTATAGGCCAAGCACTGAACTATTAACCACAAGGTCAGTGGTTCAAACCCACCAGCTACACCTCAGAAACCCTTTGAGTCGGAACAACAACATAATTTAGCTTAACTAGTTAAAAAAAGTTCGTTTGAACATAGTAGTCTTTCAAGATCAATTGTGGAATCAAACTGACAACAGCGAGGTTAGATCGGAAACTTAGGGGGCAGTGGGTTTATGTTAAATGCAAGGAATAATTCAGGAAGGGAGAATCAGAATAGTTGCACAACTTGAAGAATGCAATCAGTGTAACTGAATTGTAGAAACTGCTGGTTTTTGTGTGTTCTGTCTATATTCTCAACAACAAAAATTAAACTAACTTCTAAAACAATCAACAAGCTATAAATAACAAGCATCCTTCACCCCAGGGGAATGGAGAGTGGACAGTGACCGGGAAGGACTTGCTTGGCATGAGGACAGGGAAGGTCTTCTACAAAAGCATGTCTACCCATCTCTGTGCTCTGTCACTCTAGGTCTGGGGCAGGTCAGAACTTGGAGAATTGGACTTACAGTCAGACTCTGCCTCAAAAATCCTGCAAGTCATTAGTGGTTACCAAGGGCAAGTAGGAGAGAAATTGCTTAAGGGGTATAAAGTTTTTGTTAAAGGTAATAAAACAAATTTGGAAACAGATAGTGGTGATGGGTTGCACAACATATTGTCATATGCCATTGAGTCAGTTCTGACTCCGCCACCACACAGGACTCAGTAGACTGCCCCGTAGGCTTTCCAAGGCTGTAAATCTCTGTATCAGTCAACTACCACATCTTTCTCCTTCAGGGAGGCTAGTGGGTTTGAACCACTGAATGCTTTTGAACCACTGTACTACTAGGACTCCCGCACATGTGATGAACAAAAATAATGTCATGTTACATACATTCACCATGATAAAAAACATTTTCATCATATTGGGTTATAATATCCCTGAAATCCTGTAGAGGTTGTCACACTGGAGACCTCTCTGTTAGTCCATCAGAGTCCACTTCTCCTGCAATGTTGCAATATCACTTTGGGCCAAGTGGAGAGATTTAGAGACTCACTATACAGAAAATGTAAGGAGCTCTGTCTGGTAGCGTAGTGGTTACGAATCAGGCGCTAATCTCGCAGTCAGCAGTTCAAAACTACTAGCTGTTCCGTGGGAGAAAGATAAGGCTTTCTCCTCCCTTAAAGATTTACAGCTGTACAGGGTCGCTATGAGTCGGAACCGACTCCACAGCACATCACAACAACAACATGCAGAAAATGTAGCACATCTTTTCTGACCCTAGACTTGTACTCTATGTGGTGAGAAGAGGTGTGAGAGGCCCCAGGGAAAGAGCAGAGCCCCACCTCACCCCCAGAGAATGAGTCTCCTGCACTATATCCATTCATGCATCTGCATGCCCCCTGTGAAATTCTCCCTGCGCTCACATTTAAAGCCCTATCACCCAGTCCCGGACCTAGGCCAGAGGAGCCTTAAGTAAACATGTGTTAAACTAGACTGTTCGTCATAGAGTCATGTCTTCGCTTTAGACTCTTTAATGATTGGGATGCACCCTATATTTCTCTCATATGAGGGGTCTTTAAAAGTTGGTGGGAAAATTCCATTAATGGTCAATTCCATTTTTCCACAAATGTTTTGACTCGTATTTGGTGCAGGAGGCAGTGCAATGCTGGACACAAAAGCAGTACCTGTTGAATGGATCTGCTGATAAACCTGCGCTCTAAATGTCCAGTCCCTCTTCATGCTGAGTCTCCCTGAAGCTTACCTGATGAACAGGTGTGGAAAAGTAATGTAGGCTTAGCAAGCGGGGGATGTCTGCTGTTTCAGCCCCTCACTCACCAAGGGACAGCCCACCTCAACTCAAGCCATCAAATAACTCTCAGATTCATGTGTTAAGACATAGATGCAAGCATTGTGCATAAAACCCACTGCCCTCAAGTTGCTTCTGATTCATAGCAACCTGATAAGATAGAGCAGAAATGCTCCTTAAGGTTTCTAAGACTGTAAATCTTAATGGGAGCAGACAGCCTCGTCTTTCTCCTGCAGAGCAGCTGGTGAGTTTTGAACCTTGATCTTGCAGTTAGCAGCTCCATGCCTAACTCACAACACCACCAGGGCTCCTTAGTCTTGGAAACAACTAAGTGTCCACCAGTAAGCAGTTGTTTTTTATTGTTAAGTGCCATCAAGTCGGCTCTGACTTATAGTGACCCTGTGTAGAGTTTATGAAGAGCGGCTGGTGGGTTTGAACTACCGACCTTGCAGTCCAGTGCATTAACCCACAGCACCACACCAGAACTCCCAACATTCAATAGAAATGGTGTTGTAGAAGAAAAATGATATGGCATAAAGTTCATAATTTATGTATAATCATTAGGTTACCAAAAGTGTACTATGGTCTGATTTTATCCCAAATCATATGATTTGTCCAAATATATTTACCTATAATATATATACACGCGCAGACACACATACACACACACATATATAGATATATACTTACATATCTATATGGACTTCTGGTGTGGCCTTGTAGGATCAGCTCTAGACTTTGAAACATAAGGTCAGCAGTTCAAATCCACCAGCATCTCCTCAGAAACCCTATATAGGGTCACATAAGGGGACTTTTAAAAGTTCATGGAAAAAGTCCATTATCTTTCCATTCCATTTTTCCATGATGTTATTCTAGTGTACTGTGGTCTGATTTTATTTCAGATTGTATTTGTCCAAAATATTTACCTCTAATACATATGTTGTTGTTGTTAAGTGCCATCGAGTCGGGTCCGACCCATAGCGACCCTGTACAGGGTTTCCGAGGGCTGCTCCGCGGGAGAAAGATGAGGCTTTCTACTCCCGTAAAGATTTACACCTAATACATATACACACACATAAATATTTACTGTATAGTGTTTCAGAGAAGTGGCTGGTGATTGTGAACTGCTGACCTTGAAGTTCAAACCAACCTTGCAGTCCAGTGCTTATCCTACAGCGCCACATCAGAACCCCATAAATATACCTACATATCTTTGTTGTTGTCAAGTGCCATCAAGTCAATTCCAACCCATAGCGACCCTGTATAGGGTTTCCAAGGAGCAGCTGGTGAGCTTGAACCACCAACCTTGCAGTTCAAATGGCTCTAAGATGCTATTCTAGAACCAGTAACATCATCATCACCAGGGAACTTGTCCAAAATGCAATTTCTCAGGCCCCAGCTCAGACCTACTGAACAAAAACTCCAGGGGTGTGACCCAGCAATCTGCATTTTAACAGGTCCTTTGGGAGATGATTTTAATGTACCCTCAGGTATGAAAACCACTGCTTTATAGCACCTGTCACCCCCTCTCCTTCCTTTGGACTCACCTGTGTGTTTCTTCTGCAGGCCCTGATCCAGCTGCCCCCCTACATCTCTCAGTGCGATGAAGTGCTGCAGTTCTTTGAGACAAGACCCGAGGACCTGAATCCCCCTAAAGAGTAAGTTGGTTTGTGGATGTCCCCAGAGCATGCCTTCAGAGGCCTCCTTCTTACCGATCCAGCCAGCCCCGGGGGGAACTGGAGTGACTCAAATTCAAAATCAAACTAGGTTCCTTAGATACCAGGCCTCCTTTCTTGTAACCTCAGTCATTGTGTTGATGTTGTTAAGTGCCGTCAAGTTGGTTCTGACTCATAGCGACCCTGTATAGGGTTTCCAAGGAGTGGCTGGTGAATTTGAACTGCTGACCTTGAGGATCAAACCAACCTTGCAATCCAGTGCATTATGTTGTTATTAAGTGCCATGGAGTTGGTTCCGACTCATAGTGACCCTTTATAGGATTTCTGAGGAGTGTCTGATGAGTTTGAACCACCAACTTCGTAGTTCAAACCAACCTTGTGATTCAGTGTTTTATCCCTCAGCACCACACCATGACTCCTATGGTTTAGGCTGTTACTGTTAAGTGGTATTGAGTCGATTCTGACTTATCGCAACCCTGTATAGGGTATCTGAGGAGCGGCTGGTGAACTTGAATCGCTGATCTTCCAATTCAAATCAACTTTGCAGTGCATTTTAGTGGTGGTTATGTGCTGTGTAATCATTTCCGACCCTGCATAGGATTTTGGAGGCTGTAAATCTTTACGGGAGCGGAAAGACTCATCTTTCTCCTACAGAATGGCTGGTAGTTTCGAACTGCTGACTTTGAGACTAGCAGCCTGACTCGTAACTACTACGCTACCAGAGCTCCTTGCAGTGCATTATAGTGGACAGTAATACCCTATTTCTGATATCCGGGTAAAGAAATCCTGGCTGAGAGTTAGTGTGTGGAAGCTGAGCAGACTGCGAGCCCTGGAGGCAAGGACAAAGGGAGGTGAATGAATGAACTCCTGGAACTTGCTGAAGGCCCCCTCACTGGTGAGTGACAGGGCTGGGATTTGATGCTGGTCAGCCAGGCTTCAAAACTGATCGGAAACTTTCACGGCAGCTTCTGCCTCCTTGTCAGTTTCCTGCATCGGATGGATAACAGCTGAGAGGCATGTCAGTTCATGTGGCCCCAGCCACACGTGCACACCACCCGAACTCTAAACACCATGTAAAATCCAAATACATCGCAGAATGGAAACATCACACAAAATCCAAACACTGTACAAAATCCCAAGGCCACCACCTGCCCGCACTTAACACATCATGAGTTGCTGACGCCACCAGTCCAGCCAGCATGAAACACTGACAGACAAGTGCCACCTTTTCTTTGTAATACTTTTTTTTTAATTGTGGTAAATACACAGGTAGCAAACTTGTTATTTCAGGAGTCCTCATGGGTACATTAGTTGCATTCATCATGTTGGTCAGCTATCACCATTAACCATTCCTGAATTTTTTCCCTCACACATCCCTATTTTGGGCAAGGAGGCGTGTTGTGTCTTTGCAGTAAGAAGTTTGCTAACAGGGAAATAGCAATGGGGGCCAGAAGGTAGCCTCCATATGTGCCTTCCAAATGAGGGACGACGTGGCTTTCTAGAGCCCAGACTTTAAATCTGGTACACCCAGGTTTGAATCTCACCTTCCCCACTCGTAGCCTCCATGAGTTCACCTGAACCTCATTGGTCTCCATGGCAAACTATGGAATGGCAGCACTTCTTGGGATTATAGTAAGAGTTGGACCCCTGGCATAAGGAGCTGGGACTGTTCTGGGGTCACAGAATTAAGAGTCCAGTAGGGTTGAGGTCCCTTTGGAGCCAGTAAGCAGGGGCTGGAGAGAGTTCACCAAGCTCTCTTCTTATCATGGAAGTGTATGCTGATCTTCTTAGTGCTGGCCTTACCCAAAACAGCAGTAACAACCAAGACCTGGTGTGGTGCTGTGAGTTAATGCACTGGACTGCAGAGTCGCATTGAACTGCATTGTCAGCGGTTCAAGCTCACCAGCTTCTCCTTGGAAACCCTATACAGGATAGCTATGGGTCGGAACTGACTCAACAGCACTAAACAACAGCAACAGTGTTCGTTGTTAAACAATTAGAGTTTGCTGTGGAGTAGTGTGGAGCACTTCATGGATGTTAGGATTAAAAGTCTCATATTGCACTTTGAAATGAATCTGTTCGAGTCACAAAGTTTTTTCTTTTCTTTTTGTTTTTTTAATAGACCTGTAAAAGAGGATACCATGACAAAGGATGTTTGTGCTTTCTGACGAATAAGTGAAGTCAGATCATTTATCTATGTATGCACATCCAGTGACAGAATCAAGTTGAGAAGTCAGGTACAGTGAGTTGAGGACTCTGGACTAGTGGTTTAACTACCGCATAGATGAGTAAACTTAACTTCCTTCAATAAAGTTCTTCTAATAAATACCATTTCCTAGGGCAAGCCTGGAGTGAATACAGCTTCTCATTACTGGCACGCAGAGATTAAACAAGACATTGAGTAAGGGAGGATAGTCAACCTTTTGAAGTCAAATGTCACTAGGGAATGTCTTGCCAGCAACATGAGCCAAGATACAGCTTCATGAATGGATTTAAAAAAGAAAGAAAGATACAGGATAGGTTTAAATCTGACAGTATTGGGTCTTCAGCCCATCCTGGTTCATGTTTCTGTTCTTGTTGTCTTTGACGTTTTTGTCAGGCAAACATTCTTAGATTTTTATTGATCTAATAAGATAGGGTGAAATATTCTCACTGCATCACTGTCTACAGTTCTCCTGGGCTTTCAGAATTAAGTTGCCACTATAGTGTGTGTGTGTGTGTATGCCCTGTGTATGCCAATTATAATTTCCAGCCATTGTGAATCAAAGAGCTTTAAAAGAAAAAAAGGATATACTTGTGGAGTGTATAAGTGTTCTGTTTCCATGCGTTTCTATCACAATACTGCCAGATAAGGATTCTTATGCCCATTGTACAGATGAGAAAGCTGAGACTCAGCCAAAATCACTCACTATAGAAGTGATGGAGATGACTGTGTCCAGAACTGCATGAGTCCAAACCTTAATATCTGGGCAACCTCTGTGTGCCTTCCACGTAAGGGACAACGTGGCTCACTACAGCCCAGGCTTGGAATCTGGTATACCCAGGCTTGAATCTCACCTCTACCACTTGTAGGCTATGTAACCTCCATGACTTGACCTCTGAGCCTCACTGGTCTCCATGGCAAACTGTGGAATGGCAGCACTCCTTCGGGTTAGAGTGAGGGTTGGATCCCCGGCATAAAAGAGAATTCCAAAAATTTGCCAGGTGCTCAAAAAGTCGTGATTCATGGTATTTGCCCTCTCTGTCCGTCCATCCCTAGCTGCTTTGGCTTCAGGTTGTACCTCTCAACAGTTGATTAAGATGTCCAACGTGATACACCCTCAGTGACAAAAATTGCTTGACCACTTTTAAGCTGGGTGAACTTGGGTGTTTCTTGCCTTGAGCCTCAGTTTCCTGTTTTATAAGATGAGCCTAATAACACCTCTCTCACAGCATTGTTTGGTTTGGGGATCCAAGGAGAAATGTAATGAGATGCAGGATAAATATGCTTCCTGTCCAAAGTCAGAAGGAAGGAGAAACACCAGCCACCAGAGGTACAGAACCAACCTTGTATATGTGCTCCTCAAGCTGCTGAGGTCAGCAATGTCTGGATTTTCTTCAGCCTCATCTCAGTGCCCAGAGTTCTGAACTTTGGAAGTAGATCATGGACCACTTGGAGAAGCCAATGAAAGATTTCCCTTTCCCTGAAAAAAATGCCCACAGTGTCAGGAGCTCCTAGTTGTGCAGAATCCTATCTGTGGACCTATGTTAAGAACCCTGACCCTGGTGGGTGGCCTTCTCCAAGGTTGATGTTCTGGTATCTTTGGTCCCCTGCTTGGCAAGTGTAGTTGAGGTAGTTCCCAAGCCTCTGAGTAAGCATCAGATCTACTTATCAGTAAAAGTAGGTGAGTGAGAGCCAGGGCCAGCCCACTGCGCTTTAGAAGAGTGTGTGTGGTCTTCATTCAGGAAGGAACAGCTCTCAGGGAAACGGGATGGGAGCCAGCTCTCAAGAGGGAGCCAGAAAGTTGGGACAGCCAGGAGCTGGGTTGGTCACTTTCCCTGGCTTCCTCTGCTTGGTGGCTACAGCAGTATTTTCCCCAGTTGCTGACTGGGCTGGACTTGTAGAAATAGCACAGGACCAAGAGTTCTGGACACTGGGTTGCCCCTGCCATGAGGGAGGGCCTACACGTGCAGAGTCCAGTGCTGGTACCAAGACACAGACAACTACAGTAGACACAGTCCTGTGCCTGGAGGGAGCTCAGTCTGGGAGCAAATCACATGTATCACACACACACACTTTCTGCCTCAGTTACCTCATCTGTCAAATGAGATCATGGCATACATGATCTTGCCCACATTATTGGGTTCTAGGAAAGCTATGGAGTACTGGTGTGGTCACAAGGTCAGCGGTTCAAACTCACCGGTCCATCCTTGGAAACCCTATACAGGGTCGCTATAAGTCATAGCCAACTCTATGGCACTAAACAAAAAACAATAACAGGCAAGCTATAGAGTCTTGGTGTGATGCTGTAGGATAAGCACTGAACTGGTGGCCACAGCGTTACCAGTTCAAACCCACCAGCCGCTCTTGGAAACCCTATACAGAGTCATTGCACACAACAGCATCAGGAAAGCTATATGAAATAATGAATGGAAAGATGAGGAAGTGATGAACAGTTAGTATCACTAGTGACGTGTGTTAGGCATTAGTTGATAATTTAAAGGATAGAACATTTCCTCAGTTTCCTGGAGTTCAAGTTTTATTCAGATTACTTTAATGAGAGTGCATTTCCTCGAAGGAGCACTGGTAGTATAGTAGGTTACAAGTTGAGCTGCTAGCCACAAGATCAGCAGTTCAAGTGTACCAGCCACTTCTTTGGAGAAAGATGAGACTTTCTGCTCCCGTAAAAATTTACCACCTCAGAAGCCGTATACAGGGTCGCTATGAGTCGAAACTGACTCCACAGTACACAACCACCCTCACTATTTCCTCAGTTCTTAAATGGGAATGATAATAATACCTACTCTGCTGAGTTGTGGCAGAGCATGGATATACTGTGTCTTTAAAGTGCTTGGCACATAGTAAGTATACAATGAATTTTCCCTCCTCCCCATGCTGAAGGAGACTGTAGCAGAGAGAATCATTGATTATTGGCTTTGTTGTCTCTGGAAGGAGTCAGGCAGAATGAAGAAAATGTTCATGGATGTCAAGAGGCTGAGGAGGGTTATGTCACACTCCAGACAAGGTCTCTGGGTAGATTAGAACCATGAGGGACAGGGTGAGCTCATTCAAGTACCCTCACTCACTACATGTTCCCCAGTGACAATCGCTTGGCTGTGGAGCTCTAGAAAAGCAAGCCCAACTCCTGCCTTCAGGTGGCAGTGAGGACAGTGGATGTTTCTTGAGCCAGAGAAGACTGAAGCTGACGTTGGCATGATGGTCTCAGAGGAAGAAGCTCTAGACTCCAGAAAAATCATAGTTGCAAGGAAACAATCTCTACTCACTTTTCGGGTGGTTTTAGTGATTATTTATGATTCCTGTGGGTTCTTTTAATATTAATGAGATTGCTCCTTGCCAGATGTGAGGCAAGTATTTTGCCCCTTTAATTGGAATTTATATTTTGTTTCAGAACTTTATGATAGATGTAAGTTTTATGTTTTTGTAAAAATGGTTTGGTGACCATTTTTATTTGTAACTTCTTCCATTGTTTTTTAGGCTTAGATGGGTTAATCACTAATCAAACGCAAGATACATATTCACCTTGATTTCTTTCTAGTTGTTTTGTGTAGCTTTCCCCATTAAATCAGTTAGAATTCATTTTCATGAATGACATAAAATAAGAATCTAAAAAGTTTTTTCTTAATTTAGACACTTTTAACAAACTAGAAGTAATCTTAATGCGCCTTTCATTTAATTGATAATAATAATGCCACCCCCTATAGTATTTAGTGATCACTTGCTTCTTTTTCCTCAGGAGAGATGCAAGAGTGAGAGCTCCTGCCCTCAGGAGACTTCCATATGCATGGGGAAGACAGCATGAGCATGTGGAAATACAAACAGCCACTAACAGTACAAAACCTAGCTAAAACGATGTTGTTGTTAAGTGTTGCCAAGTCCGTTCCGAATTATAGCCACCCTGTCTGTGTATATATATACATATGGTTTCTGAGGAGTCACTAGTGGGTTTAAATCACCAATTTTGTGGTAGCAGTTCAGTGCTTATGCTACAATGCCACACCAGGACTCCAGCCAAGATAGTGTCCCCCCAAGAAAATCCCAAAAAACAGGTGACATAAGCTAAAAGCATCAAGTTGGACCACCTGTAGCTAGTTCCAAGAGACTTCCTGGGAGGAAGAGACAAGTTCTTTGTCCCTTCCTAGCTGTGTGTTCTTGAATAAGTTTACTGACTTCTGTGACCTTCCATTTGCTCATTATCAAAATGGATAGAGCTAACCTAGCTTACGTAGCTGAAAGCTTGCAGTTCAAACTTACCTAGTAGTACCACAGAGAAAACTAGCAGTACCACACAGAAAAGTACCAGTGCTTACCTGAGGAGGCCTTCCTGCCCATAACCGAAGCCTTGAAGGAAAAGGTTCTTCTCAGGAGGGAGGATGGGGAGGTTGCTGAGAGCCCGAGGTGGCTGTTGATTGAAGGAGTGATGAACAGCTCAGTGACAGCTTGGTCAAAGGCCCTGAAGCTCAGACCCAGGTTAGGACTTGGAGTGCACACTGGGGATCTTTTCCAGCCGGTTTCCAGACAGGAAAATGATGGATTGCAAGAAGCACTCTTGGAACAGCTTTTTTGCTGCCCTGTGTAGAAAAACTTGAGAATACCCCCACACGTGTTTCACAGTGTGGGAAGCCAGAGCCTTCCAAGGCTCATGACTACCTTGAGACCAAACTTGCCTAGCAACAATAACGTCAGCACTAGAAACTTACAGGTGACTGTAGCTGAGCCATTCTGGGGAAAAGGAAACTTGTGCGCTAGCCAAACCAAAATGACTTGCAGATTTGCCCTATATAAGCTTGGAACTTTTTAATAAACTTTGTCACTTGCCATCAGCATGTGTCCCTTACCTGATTACTGATCCCCGCCTCTCCCTCAAGTAACCCACAGTCGGAGCCCAACGTGGGGCTCGAACCCACAACCCTGAGATTAAGAGTCTCATGCTCTACCAACTGAGCTAGCCGGGCAGGTAATGTGCCTGCTAGGGCCTACACATGCTCTTATAGCTGGTGGCTGTGAGGATGGTGGACATTTCTTGAGCCAGAGAAGACTGAAGCTGGCATTGGCATAATGGTCTCAAAGGAAGAAGCTCTAGATTCCAGAAAAATCATAGTTGCAAGGGAACAATCTCTGGTTTTAGTGGTTATGATAACTATGGGACTCCTGGTATCATGCTGTGAATTAATGTGCTGGACACAAAGTCAGGTTGAACCACAAGGTCGGCAGTTCAAGCTCACTTGGAAACCCTATACAGGGTCGCTATGGGTCGGAACTGACTCCACGGCATTTAAAAGCAACAACAACAACAAGTGAGTGCTATCAATAATAATGAAATTGGTCTTTGCCATATGTGAGGCAAATATTTTGCCCCGTCATTGGAATTCATATTTTGTTTCAGAACTTTATGATCGATGTACGTTTTATGTTTTTGTAAAGTTGGATCCACTGGGGCCTCTGCTCCAGCTGAGGCACTAGCAGGTATATGTGGCAGAGCAGAATGCCTGGATTTGAAGTATCCCAGGCTGAGGTTCTGGTCACAGGCCTGTGTGGTGACTCTGGGAGATGATACTTTAGGTAGACTCAGGCTAGATGAACCCTTGTTGGTATATCTGGCAACCAGCAGCCAGGAGGATTTACCCATTAGACTGTCCAGGATGGTAGTCAAGGGTGTGGGTTCCAACCAGACCTCCTGGGTTCAGATCCTGAGTGAGATACTCTCCTCTATGGACCTTAATTTCCCTGTGTGTAAATTGTAGTAACCCTAAAAGGGTAGTTGTGAGGATTCCGTGAGTCAGTCCTGGTATGACACTGTCCTGGGCCCACTGGACAGAGAACACTCAGAACTGTGCGCTGAAGTATTCCACTCCTATTCTCACCCATCCTCACATTTAACCCTACTACAGTAACATCTAGCCAGAGGACATGAGGCACCTCCTCCCCAAAACACAGGCATGCAGCCCCACGCTCCTACCATCGGCTCTGCTCTCTCACCCTCTCCCGAGCATGACCAAGTGATAACTAAAAACTCAGGTCTTAAAATCAAGCATTTCCCTAAAGTAAAAGCAGTTGTCTCCAAAATACTGGAGCATGTATTGGTCACAGGGAGAAAATCAAGAGGAATTATTTCTTAAGGAGTCTGGGCCCCTGGGATTGGCTTTGATGTAGCCATGTTTTGGGATTGAGAATCTCAGTGTTTCAATAGACTAATGTCAAGACACGACAAGCACTGACTACTCTTTCTCTCCCCCACTTCTTTTCCTATACAGGGAACACATTGGAAAAAAGAAATCTGGTAAGAATGATATTTTCCATTTATTTCTACCTTGATTGAACACTCATTATGTGGCAGGCCCTGGCCACCACACTGAAGATGCGGTGATATGGATGGATGGATGGATTGATGGATGGATGGATGGATGGATGGATGGATGGATGGATGGATGGATGGATAGATGGATGGATGCTTGACTATTTGATACCTCACCCTGTTTCCCAAGTAAAGGAATTTGAGGTTATTTCATCCTATACCAAAAGGTTACAAAGTGGATGAGATCTGATGTCTTTCCAGAATACCTTGGTGGAACAGCAGAGACAAATGTCTTTCTAACCATGCCATGTGGTTGTTGTGTGCCATCAAGTCAGTTCCAACTCGTAACATCCTAGTGTAGGGCTTCTGAGGCTGTAAATCTTTCCAGGAGTAAAAAGCCTCATCTTTCTCCAGCAGAGTGACTGATGGGTTGGAACCGCTGACCTTGTGGTTAGCAATCCAGTGCTCCGCAACCATGTCATAGGATGTGAAATGCCTTTGTACCACATTATACAAAAGTAATGCAATAACTCAGAGCTATGAGCATTCTTCTTAGGAGGAAGTTAAAAATGTGGGTCCTGGGTCTTGAAGAATGAGCAGAGGTTTTCCACATAGCAGAGGGTGTTCTGGATTGAGGGGATGGTGCGTGCACTGGCCAGGAGGCAGAAATGTGCAGTCTACTTGAGCCTGACCCATATAGCCCCCAGCCTCTGTTTCCTTCAGTTAGTCACCAGTCTGAGCAAGGAACAGGGCTGTTTCAAGAGTTCCCATCCTCACTTCCACCCTCCCTGAAGCAAACTATCTTCCTTCCTAATAATCTTTCCATTCCCTGAACATGACATTTTTTATCAAGAGCAGTAATGGGAACAGAGAAGGTAGGAAATTGGATATTAATAGAGAAGTGACTTGAGTTTATAGATTTCTATTAACAGTAGCCCAACTTTTTCCCCCTGTGACCTGAGATTATCCCGTCTCTCACATCTGCAACAGCACACACCCCACTTGGACCCAGGAGAGTCTTCAGAGCTTCCGGAATTCTAAGTTCGTTTAGATATTCCTAGGACCCCTAGAAGTTTAAGGGAGTTGATGAGGATAAAGAGGGACAAGCAGAGATCTCAGAAGTGAAAAAAAAAAAAAAAACGCCTCCTCTCGTGAACCCGGTTTCCTCATCTGTAAAATGGGGATAATGCTAGTAATTTACCTTGTAGGATTACTACAGGATTTTAATAACATGTGTAAAACACTTAGAACAGTTATTGATATGCTGCTATTGTTAACTCTTATTACTACTACAATTAAGGAGCCCTGGCAGCATAGTGGGGTACAAGTTGAGCTGCTAACCGCAAGGTCAGCAGTTTGAATCTACCAGCCGATCTGCAGGAAAAAGATGAGGCTTGATGATCCTTTCTTGACAGCCTCAGAAAACCTAAACAGGGTTGCCATGGGTTAGAACTGACTCCACAGTACACAACCATCACCACCACCACTCCTATTATTACTTCAAAACACATTGATAGCTTATTCCAAATTCAACACCTCTGGTCCCTTGAAAAGGAGCCCTAGTGACAGTGGTCTATGCATTGAACTGCTAACCTCATTGAACTTCTCTGGAGAAAGACGAGAATCCCACCCAGTCTGTTTACAAAGATTTACAGCCTTGGGGTTCTCTATAGCGTGGCTCTGAATCAGAATTGACTCCATGGAAGTGGAATCAGTTTTGGTTCTTTTCCTGCCTTCTGGGCACAGGGCCTCTGGTCATCCTTGCAAGGAAGACTGGAGAGAGAATGAATCTATTTGCTTCAAGGTATGGCATCCCAGTGTGGCACTATAGGACAAGCATTGGGTGGCTAACCACAAGGTTGGTGGTTCATACCCACCAGTCGCTCTCAGAAACACTCTACAGGGTCACCCTGAGTCGGCAGCAAGTCAACAGCACTTCACAACAACAGCAATGGCATCTGCAATTAACTTTGGCCTTTTCCCACCCAGTCTGTTTACAGCTCTCCTTTCTGACTTAATGGGTACTGACCAGAACCTTGATATCCTGCTAAAGCTGCAAATAGTTCTTGAGATCCAGGCATAATTATACATTTCTTAGAAAAGAGCAGAGAGAAGAGCCTGCCAACCACTCGTGGCTGGTCATGAGGTTTCAGATTTTGAGTGTGCCGAGACTCTTTCCTTGGAAGGAACTGGTGGGAGGGAGAGGAAACAGACAGCTCTAGTTTGTGAAAAACAAAAGTGTCCGATTGGAACCCACTTGATGAGAGGACTTGTCTGGGTAAGGGAGAAGAAGCTCTAATTTGTGGTAACCACAGTTACATCACTGACCTGCAATGATGGGGGATAGGTTTATTTATAGTTCGGCTGGGTGGAAAATAGCATCTTTCTTATTTAGACTAAGAACCCATGCTGAGATTAGCCTTATTTTTTATCTGACCTTCGAACACTTACTTCCACTATTTTAGAACCAACCTTCTGAGTTTAATTTTGAAGGGATTTAAGGTTGACAGCTCAAATCCTGAGATTTCTGTTCCAGAACTCTGAGTTGGAGAAAGCTTATCTGTTGACAGCATTTTTTAAGCATGGCTGCTAACTCCTACATGCTTTGGCTAAAAGGTCTCAAATACTGAGCATCCTACAGGAAAATATCCTCCCATCAAAACTTACTAGACCATCTGATTTTACTTAATGAAGTTATTGTTAAGTGGCGTTGAGTCGGTTCCAACTCTTAGTGAGTATAAGTTTCCAAGGAGCAGCTGGTGAGTTTGAACCGCCAACCTTGCAGTTCAAACTGACCTTGAGGTCAATTGTTTATCCTCTGGCACCACACCAGGACTCCACTTACTGAAGTAGTATCTCCTTTACTGATATGTTAAACAAGATTAGCAGGAAAATGAATCTCTGGGAAACAAGCCCCACTTTATAACTTCTTGCTATTTAAAAAATATATGTTATCATAAAGAAAACAACTCCTCATTAGAAAATTCAGTGGTAGATCAGACACTTTGTTGTTGTTATAACACCTTCTCAATGTTAAAAATCACCCTTCCACTCTCAAATCTCTTCCTTTCTTCTTACCTTTTCTTTCTCTCTTCTATCCTGGTAGGCTTGTTGTTGTTGTTAAGTGCTGTCGAGTTTGTACCAACTCATAGTGACCCTGTGCACAACAGAGCAAAACACTACCCAGTCCTGCGCCAACCTCAGAATCATTGCTAAGCTTGAGCTCATTGCTGTTGCCACTGTACCAGTTCATCTCATTGGGGGTCTTCTCCTTTTCTGCTGACCCTCCACTTCACCAAGCATGGTGTCCTTCTCTAGGGACTGGTCCTTCCTGATGTCCAAAGTATAAGAGGTGAAATCTAGCCATCTGGCTTCTAATGAGCATCTGGTTGTACTTCTTCCAACACAGATTGGTTTGTTCTTTTGGCAGTCCACGGTACTTTTTAATATTCTCCTCCAGTTGTTGTTGTTGTTAGGTGCCATCAAGTCAGTACCAACTCATAGCGACCCTATGCATAACAGAATGAAACACTGTCCAATCCTGGGCCAACCTCACAATTGTTGCCACGCTTGAGCCCATTGATGCTGCCACTTTGCCAATCTGTCTTGCTGGGGAGGTCTTCCTCTCTTCCTCTTTTTCTCTGACCCTCCACTTTAGCAAAAATGATATCCTTCTCCAATGACTGGTCCCTCCTGACAATATGTCTGAAGTATGAGAGATGAAGTTTGGCTGCACTTATTCCAACACAGATCTGTTGGTTCTTTTGGCAGCCCATGGCACTTTCAATATTCTCCTCCAACACCATAACGCAAAAGCATCAATTCTTCTGTGGTCTTCCTTATTCACTGTCCAGCTTTCGCATCCATATGAGTTTATTGAAAATACCATAGCTTAGGTCAGGCGCACCTTAGTTTTCAAGTTAACATCTTTGCTTTTCAACACTTTAAAAAGGTCTTGTGCAGATTTGCCTAATGTAATACGTAGTTTGATTTCTTGACTGCTGCTTCCATGAGTGTTGATAATTGATCCAAGAAGAATGAAGTCCTTGACAACTTCAATCTTTTCTATGTTGATAAGAACGTTGTTTATTGGTCCAGTGGTGAGGATTTTTGTTTTCTTTACATTGAGAAATCCGTACCTAAGGCTGTGCTCTTTAATCTTCATCAGTAAATATTTTAAGTCCTGTTCACTTTCAGCAAGCAAATTTGTATCATGTGCATATGGCAGGTTGTTAATGAGTCTTCCTCCAATCCTGATGCCACATTTTTCTTCATGTAACCCAGTTTCTAAGGTTATTTCCTCAGCATACAGGTTGAATAAGTATGGTGAAAGAATACAACCCTGTTGCACACCTTTCTTAATTTGAAACCATTCAGTGTTCCTTGAATGTTCTGTTTGAACAACTGCCTCTTGGTCCATGTACAGATTCCTCATGAGCACAATTAAGTGTTCCGGAATACTCATACTTCGCAATGTTGTCCCTAGCTTGTCATGATACACACAATCAAAAGCCTTTGCATAGTCAATAAAGCACAGGTAAACATCTTTCTGATATTCTCTGCTTTCAGTCAAGATCCATAGGACATCAGCAATGATATCCCTCGTATCCATCATACTTGGTATAGTGGAGGGTCAGTGAAAGAGAAAGACCTTCAATGAGATGGATTGACATAGTGGCAGCAGCAATGGGCTCAAGTGTAACAGCTTGAGCACAGAACTGGGCAGTGTTTTGTTCTGTTATGCATAAAGTCACTATGAGCTGCATCTGACTTGACAGCACCTAACAGCAATGAGAAGATCACGTATTGGCATAGGGTTCAGGGCTGGCACTTTCTCTCTGGGGTCAGGTCCAAGTCTTAAACTACCTGCCTGTTCATTCATACCTCGTTCCACAGCCTCTTCTGAATCTAGCTTGAACTTCTGGAAGTTCTCTGTCAATGTATGCTTGCAGCCGTTTCTGTATTACCTTTAGTAAAACTTTACT